AAAATTTTGAGTGCATGATGACATGTGGTGGTAGATAGGGTTTGGTTTTGCTTTAGAGAGTAATGAGGTGAATATGATACAAAAAAGCAGACAAATAATTTAATGGAGGGTGTAGAAAGTGTGAACTGCGAGTATGAAAGGGAGGGAGAGAATATGTGGTGATGGTGGTGTCAAGTCTTGCATTTTGCATGTTGGCAAATTAATGAAAGGGGACCAATGTTTTATGGCGTGTTGACTTAAAGTGTAATGAAATTGTCAATGTGTTAATCATGGTTTGGAGCCCTTGGACTTGTTCCCTAACTTCCCTTGGTTTTCCTTTTCCTTGTCAGTCAAAATTACAAGATGAGCTCGTCCACAGCATTATAAATTAACAAAGAAACTGTGTGATTAACGGACGGTGGTTTTAATTATTATAATCAGTGTGTCCTGTAACTTGTATTGACGACGAGGAGCCACAAAATAAGAAGCTAGTGGGTATTATTATTCCTTTAGAAGGAAAGTTGTCACCTATACAGGTGCTGCTGCTGCCAATTACTTACTATTAATACCCCAACCCTAGGATCATCATGCATTCATTCGTCAAGAAAATAAGGAAAAACATTATTGACTTCACCAATTATTACTTTATAGTGTAATTGTATCTGCCAACAACCAAACTACTAAAAATGTCACTCTATTTCTTATTGAATTATTTCCCTTTTTCTTTTTCTTACTCATGGAATTGAATTACTATTTTTATTGAATACTTTAAGGATATTAGGTATTATCTTAGAATTTCTGATGAGAGATTTTTTGTTCACACTCTGCCCCTTTGTGCTAAAGAAAACATGTGAATCAATTTAAGGATATTAGTGTTAATGTAAACAAATCTAGAGAATGTATTCAGAAGGTTTAGAGAGAAAATAGCTCAAAGAGAAGAGAGAGAGACTGAATATTCTTCGTATATTTCACATCGTTCAGTAACCCAAAGGTTAAGGCTTTATATATCTGTAACAACAAAGCTAACTGCCTTAACTATCAACCTTCTAATCTAATGACAAGTGGCAACATCCTATACATTAATCTATATACTCTATCATCCCCCCGCAAACTCATGCCTGGATGATCGAAGCATGAGATTGTGACAGTGAGTGTGAAACAACGGAGAACTCAGACCCTTAGTCAGAATGTCAGCAAACTGCTCCACAACATCAAAAGCTAGTTTATTTTATTTTGAGTAATATAACTCATATTACCTACCCATAAGCATCCACGAAACTCATAAGAACGAGTGGTTCGGCCCTTTGCCTACTTTCGCCTCCACACTCATATCAAGCGTTCAAGTCCAGCCCCATATGAAAAATAATAAATAAATAACTTAATACGCATAGGAAGCACCGAAGAAATA